TCATGAATATGTGTGATATGCGCACTCTGACCTTACAAGGAGAGGATACTTAGTCGAAAGCACCAATCCAGATGAGACATCCTGCGGCAAGATGCGTCGTGCGCCGTTCCGTCCGGGTTATTTTCCCCCTGTACATCTATATTTGCTGCACGTTCGTATTCTCCGAGAGGTCTTTCACGGCGAGCGAGCGGGTGGAGGAACGAACACCTCAATTAGGCACTGCCTCCGCGGACCACTGGTCCCAACACGATGCACAACAGTAGGACGAAAGGACCAGCAGCCCGCGGAGGCGATGTTCACTGCAGGACGCGTGCGGCGTGTGCCGCAGCACGCCGCATCCTGCGGCGTAGTATGAAGGAACCCTATGGCGCGTATGCTATGTACGAACCACAAACATCGCTCTGATAAGGGGAAAATAATCAATCAACCCCGAAAGTGGCGAGGATCTTACGGTAGACCACCCTGAAATGTTATAGAGGCTCGGCAAACCCCACTTCCCGGAACACTGCCCTCAAACCGAAATTTTCTGTCCTCGTCCGCGTATACATGCAAGCAATTTAGCTTAGTACCTAGCCTGATGCGCAGCAACTTGAGTTAGTCAGCTACATCTCTCCTTAAACATCAAAACAAAACACTATTGTTACTAAAGAGCCAAGGCAACTACTACTAAGCAAAGACAAAAACAGAGGACAAAGCCCCATCCTATGACCGATTGTGCGCGCCTACGTTAACTGTCTAATTCACAGGTGGCCCGAGGGTTCACACAATAGATCCTCCCGCCAAGGCGCGAGTATCAGACAGGCAAGAACTGAAAGCACACGATAGAATGTAGATGGAAAACGAAAGCTAGCAGACGCCAAAATGAGGCGCTGCCGCTATATGTAGCCGTTTGGCCGCTAATGCACCAAACAAAGGAGCGATTGCGGCGGCAATGCGCTACCGTAATCGTCGCCGAATAGCGCGACGATCAATGCTCCCGACCTCCGTTCTGAGAGGCCCGCATCGCAAAGCCGTAACAATTTTCGAGGACAAAGTTGAAAAGAATCACTTTCTTTACAACGCGCAAGCAACTGGGCCAAATTTGGTGTTTTTCGCGACAGTTGCGCGAGCGTACATAGATAGCGTTGCTCTATTCGTAGTTGTTGTCTTCATAGATTACGATGTGCACAGTATACTAGCCAAGCAGATATTGTGTAAGACGACTTGCCCGCGTTGGAGTAGTAAAAGAATGTTCCATATAGTAGGCGTTCAAAGTAGCAAATATACGTCTAGATTATAGAGCACGCTAGTTTGGAGCATTCTTGGAAACGAAGTCCCACATAATTTTGCAAAAATTTTACGAAGTTTTCTTTGACGCGAAAATCAGTAGAAGAACCTTTGTTCGATAAGCACAGCAATATAAAAGCAAAAGACTTTTTTTGAGGTTTTAAATATTAGTTCTCCAAAAGTAATTTTGCCTTTTTAAACGGACGCCACATTTGTGGAATAATTATATTTATGAGACCTTGGTGCATTTCGATGCATCCTAATCTTTCTAACGGGTATGAAATCTGGTAGCACAGTTAATAAACTTTCGAAAATGACCAAAATCTGCGACCAATGCTTTTCGAAATGGTTGAGTTTCACGATTTTTCTAAACTTTTATGTCAGTCCTCCGAACTCCATCAGAGCAAGCCCCACAGAATAGATAACAATCTTCTCCTTTTCATAACTCGCCATATTTTCCAGTAGAATTTTAGCTGATGCAACCAATTTCCATACTTGGTCATCTATAACTTCATAGAACATCAAAGGGTGAGCGTTTCGGCTGTTGTTTGATGCAGCTTTTTCTAGTGGGTATTATTGTTTCTAAATCGTTTAGTCTGCGGGCATAAATCATCTAGCGCGACCCAGACTGTACTCGAGAAACTCGAAAATATTTCGAATCGTCAAACTCTCATGTGCTTTGTGAAACTAGTGCTAAATCATAGTACCATCTTGGGAGTTAAATTTCGAACAATCGTTGGTGTTTGGTGCGATTGTCGCTGACGTAGGCCTGTCAATATCCGTTGGTTTTGATGAAAAAAACCTGAAAAATGTTGCACTACATCCTATAAGGTTTGCGCTATCGAATCGTTACTTGGACTCTCTCGGGAGGGGGGGGGGGTGGTGATATAAAAGTATAGAAAAGTTGTGAAAGTGTAATTGTGAAACTCAACCATCTCAGAAAGCATGGATAGCAGATTTTGGTGATGTTCCGAAAGCTTATTGATTGTGCTGCAATATTTTCATAACCTTCAGAAAGGAGATGAAATGCTGAATCGAGTGTTGCCAAGGTTTCTTAAAAATTTCCTTTCCATCAAATGTGGCGTCCATTTAAAGAAAGCGAAATTCTTTTTGAAAAAAACACCTAGTGCAAAAAAAGGCAAAAAACGTTTTGAGGATTTGATTGTAGGGTCTGACAGTGTTGAAAATGTCGAAAAATCCCTAGACAATAATCTTTAGCCTACAACGGTTTGGGGATGCAATGTCGCAACATGTGTATGTTTATGCTATTTTTGGTTAAGAAAAGAAAGGACAGGCAATTGCTTGATTTGCTTTCTTCACTATATGTTAGTTCTCTTTTCGTGCAAATTAAAAAGGTCCAAAACGTATGTGAACTCTATGTGGTTACGATATTTATGCTCCGGACCATCCCAGTTGGTTTGTGCTGGTCCAGAAACCAACAACTTCGATAGCTTGTATTAGGACACATGAATTTTTGGAACTTTTCATATAATGTAATTTGGGGTAGAAGGGGCCGCTATAATCTGCGAGGGTAAAAGCACTGACATGTAATCGGCCGGCCCTTGCAAGTCGTTGTGAAAGTCTTACACTCATTCAGTAGCTCTTCGACTATGGAGTAGAACCGTAAAGGGTACTGGAGGCGCCGGATCCTTCATTTTTTTTCATCCATGCTTATGGGATGACATCTACGGTACTCAAGCAAAGTACTGATACGACTAAGAGGGGTGCTGACAGTTCGGTGCACATCAAAAGAAAAGCATTAAAAATTATGTCAAAAATCAGGTGAATGGGGAGAGCTGCTAGTTTTTCTGTTTTAGGTCGCTCACGCTCCACCTGGAAGTAGTCTGAAGTTGCGCGGGACTGGACAAGGAAACAACTTAGATAATTTTCTCCGAGTTTTACATAACACTAGCTGGCATATTCGGTTCTGTCCAGCTGTGTCAATGCACTATGATTGTTGACATTTGCTACTTTTTGCACAATTCCCTGCCCCTGGCCTCATTTTCCATTATGTTATCGTAATCATCATGCTCTCATACCCCCTCCCCTGTGCCTACTCTCAGCTCCGAGCTCAAAGTTTGCGAAAAATTGATAAATTGAGCAAAAGTGATTGTCGATTTGAAGGACTGATTTGTATTTGCACTCAGCAGGCTCACTTACCCTCCTAGACCAACCCCACCCATAGGTCAAATTATGCAAAAAATCGATAAAATCAGTGAAGTGAATAGTTCCAATAAACGTATTGTAGTCGTTATCAGCATGTTCACTTACCCTTCTGTACCCTTCAACTCCCAACCCCGTGGCTGAAAGCTTGCAAAAACTGATGAAATTTGGTAAAATCCAAATCAATATCGATTGCTAACGAAAAGTAGCCTGCTGTGTCCCCCCCCCCCCTCTAAAGTGTATGTGTGCAAAGTTTGGTCCCGGTCGGTTCAGAAATAGAACTTTCTATTCGGAACACACAGACAGACGGACATCTAGCTTCGTAGGGAAGAAAGACAAAATAACATACAGCTATAGAGAAGCACTATGCGGATTCTTGTAGTTACAGAGTTACTCATTGCAATAAATTTTTGATTTCAATGTTGTCGAAAAATGAATCATACAAAAATCACAGAGAATAGCAGCTTACGCACTCAATTTTTGAGCGTGAAAACGTGCAACCGTGTCCTGTGAAATTAGTGAATGTCTTTCATAACAACTGAAGCAGCATTGTAATTGGATATCTCAAAACAACCCCATTGACTTCAAGGATTCAGCGCTACCGTTAGGTAAAGATTCAATATTTAAAATACAGTGGATCCGGTCCGAGATCTTGTTTGTCTTGGTGTCTCTTGATAGGTCAGATTTAGGTCAAAACACTCTACGAGCTTAAGCGACTGTAGTATCCGTTGTGTGTCTGTCCACAAAATATTGCAAAATAGGTGCTGCTATTTTTCGGTATAATCTGTGTTTCTTTTGATTCAGGATCAATTTTTTCTTTGTCAAACAGTAACTTTTATTTTCGGAGAGACCTTGATTTTTATCCAAAGAAAACCTCATAATTTGAAGATTGATTTGATTTTTTTTCAATTCGCAAGAACAGATCATATAATGACTCGTTTGGCTTGCTTTCCTAGAAAAATGGCTTTTTCTCAATTAGACAGAAAAAATGGTTCGAGGTAAGTTCGATGCTTGCCATGAGGTCTGTCTGATATTCCCAAGTATTGTTTCGATTGATGAGTTCAAAAAAATTTACGAATTTATTTCTGATGCCTGTTCGTTGAGATCATAACAGATCTTAATCCTCTCTCGAACTTCTCTGTCAACGCTTGCGTTCTTCTTTGCAGACAGTTCTTGAAATCAAACATTCCATCTCATGATTTCGATATGGCTCTTCACATGAAACAATTTTTCCAGTATTATTGATGCAGTTGTTCAGCTATGTTGATTCACTCTTACAACTCAAGGGCTCTGTTCTCCCACAATAACTCATATCCGGGCAAAAGGTTGTTTTCATAAGACTTCACAAACAGCATTTGTCTTTTATTAATGGTTGCTTCCGCTGCTCTTAAGCAAGATTTTATATTGTTATTCTTCTTTTATTTCTTTCCGTCAGTTTATGAGAGATTTTTTCCGACAGCCGCTTTGTGATACGATTACTATAGCATCAGGGAATTCAGTATTAACATTTTTCAGATTGGATCCCTTCATTTCCGACACTTTCGTAGTTGACGATACGTGCCTAAACAAAGATGGAAAACAACAATGATACCACAGGTAATCAAACATTTTCGTCTTATTATGAGCTTTTTTCACCAACTCAAATATTTCGCGAATGAAAGGAACCTTCCTCTCTCCAATTCTTTGCTCTCCGGTTTTTATGAATCTCCAACCAACAATTAACACTTCGACAGTTGGCAGCATTATCTGCTGATTGAACTTCCGCCAATCAAAACATTATTCATAGTGTCGTAGACGTCTAGAAAAACAATTTTATGGACTTGGGATGTTTTGGTAATCGAAAAAATCTAATTGTTTTCTTAATCGATGCAGCGCTGTCTTCCTATTGGATGGTTCAAGTGGTCCACTTCACATGCTCGACTATCCCGAATTTACCCACCATCTCGCTCATAACAACACTTCTCTGTACATTTTCTGGATGTATCAGGGAGATACTTGATCTGCAATCCTATTGTGATTTTTCAGAAATTAAAATCTGAAATTTTTTGCCAGAACTACATCCCAGATAGAACGTGTTCTAGACGCCAGACTCACTTTATCTCCTCTTTCATCACCACACTTTGCATTTTTCCTTGCCCTATCCTTTGATTCCGAATCCCATTATTTTACACTCTTTTACTGGAGAAGCTTCCCTTGTCTGCTGTCACCAATGTCTTTTTTTTTCACAGCTCAACTCTCGGAACAGGTGCTCAAAGATTTTCCGGCATTTTGAAAATTTCCATGATAGCTTGTTCTGTGTTATCTCCTGTCATCGCATCCGCAGTCGTGCAATTTTTTCACGCGATTTTCTTTCGTGATCACCGACTTCGTGGAGTGCATCCGTTGTGAGCATAGTCTTTCCCGTTGTTTGCTTTCCCACTTCTACCGATGCTCCACCCGCAATACTTCACATCATGATGCACTCCTCTTCAAAGAATCTTTTTTTTTTCGCAAAAAACAAAAGAAGGATTTTGTGTCGACCTTATTTTCGTTATTTTTGTCAATTATCTGCAATACAGGCATTTTCTTGATTATCTGAAACATTGCGAAAGCCTTTTCAAGGGTCTTTCGCAAATTTTGTACTCCTTTCGAGAGCATTTTCGCACTTTTGAGACAATTCTTTTAAGCAATATCCCGTACAAATTTCTAGAAGCGCTTCAAGCTTTATACTTGCCTTTCCCTGCAAGCTTGATACCATGGTTTCACTTAAACTTCGCAAAGCTCAAAAAGAAGTGTAACTTCACATTTATTCAGTCACTCTCAAGTTCTTTGACGGGGCTGATCCCAGATACCTTGGTGGTGTCTGGGTACCAAAAGGAAATTCTCATGGATCAAAGAACATAAGTGATAATAATTCAATCTCATTCTTCACTTCTTTTTCTCTTTACTCGACTGATTTACACTCAGTACTGACGCTTCTTACTATTCATGAGATAACAGCTTCAAAATAGTTGTGAGTCAATTGTACGCTTTCAAAAATTTCCAGTCATTGTTTCGATCTCCATTTGACAATTCTAGAACGATTCCGAAGAGTCATCGATATAAATTGAAATTACCTCTTAGGCCTCATGAAAATTTTCCACAAATCATTGTCAATTAAAGTGCCGAACATTTGTGATGTAAAGCAACTTCAGCTTGAATTTTAGTCTTTAGGATTGTCGTATTTATTTTCAAGAACTTCGCAAGAAAGAATACCTTCTGAGAACTGTTAAAGAGTAAAATGAAAGAAGGTCTTACAACAAGCATTGCTTCAATCAAGCTATACAAATAATGGCAAATTTGTGAATCTACTGACAAGATTTCATTGTTTTGACGGCTACTCACCTATTACGGTAATAACTCTAAGAAAAAGATTGTCTCCATTACAAAGTTGCAATGGCAATTTTCAAAGATACTTTGATCCCATAGCAAACAAAAGAATTAAGGTATCATATTTTACCTTGAATGTAGCATGTAGCGTGCCCATCCTATTCATCTTCAAGACAAAGCGTGTGTTATTTTAAAACAAATTCTCGACATATCCTTTTCGAACATTAATTGCTTGATATACCTAGTTGGTAGTCTACGCTTATGCAGAAGTTCCAGTTTCATAGCGCTGAACAGCTAAGAAAGATTGAGTTCCCTTGTGTATTACTTCAGCAATCTTGGCTCGGAGAAGTCCATCATGACCGCTGTTCATGAGCAATGTTTGGTTTTTGAGCGGACAAGTGACACTGAATAAGCGCAGGTCCTTGCTTTTGCTTGCAATGCCATTTTCGGTTTAACTGCAGGGTGGTCGATAAGTATGGCGTTACAACATGAAAAATATCTTTTTTCAGAAATAATCTATCTGGCGGCAAATATGCATCTAGCTTGCGGACAGTTTTTATATTAAGATAAGTGAAAATCATGCGAATTGAAGTCTTCTGATGCAAATGGGACTCGTAAGTCTACTTTCTCTTGAGAGGCGCTGCGGCGCGTTCAGTTAACACCTTATTTATAGTAACGTGCCTTATTTTGAAGAGGATTTGTTACAGCGCAATGTTATTCTTCGGACTGTGCTCTACAAAACCTCAGGTTTCAAAATCTATTTGATTAATAACTGGGTTAATTCAACGGATTTGCAATGAGTACATTCTTCGAGTAGCATTTTTGACGCATCAACTTCAAGGTAAGCTGCTGAAGTTTGTATGCATGCGCAGGAATCCAGTCCTGCAGGAGTAACACACTAAGATGCCTGTGTTTTGGGCATGCAAAAAATAGTCTTACAGATATTTGTTTGCTATGAAAAACCATTAAAGGAAAAATGTGACGCCCATACTTTTCGGCCACCCTGTAGACTAGATACTCTAAGGGCCGCATGCACTAACATCCCGCTGGGGCGGGGATCGCAGCTTCAGAAGAAAGCTCATCTTCTGAAGCTCCAGATATCCGGATTTGACGCTGTCTATCTATGCGTAAGTACTCCCACCATCCCCCACTAGGAACATATTGGACAGAAGCAAGAAGCTGTACAAGCCGCATTTTCCAGCTTTTTGTAGGATTCCCTGATAATCCCCGGGGGACGAACATTTATTCTTCGAAATCAATTTTCTTTCTTGAGTTAATGAAAACATTCCGAAGTTGTACAGATTATTTAACCCAATAGTGTTAAGCACGTTGCTCATTAGAACAAATGATGTTCTAGAGTCATGAAATTTCGATGAACCACAGGTCGAAAGTCGGGGTTTATCGAAAATTTCGATAGTTCAGAAACTTATTTGTTCTCATCAGCAACGTGCTTAGTATTATTGGGTTAGATAATCAGTACAACTTTGGTTTCCATTAACTCTGAAGAAAGAAAAATGATTTTGAAGAATGATGTTTATCCCCGGGGATCATCAGGGGGTCCCACAAAAGCTGGAAAATGTGGCTTGTACTAATGTGGCTTCTTGCCCATGTTCAATATGTTCATAGTGAAGGATGGTGGGAGTACTTACGCACAGGTAGATAGTGTTAAATCCAGATATCTGGAGCTTCAGGATATGAGCTTTTTTCTGAAGCTGCGATCCCCTCCCCAGCGGGGATGTTAGTGCATGCGGCCCTAAGAGGGGAGGGAAGGGGTGGGGGTGCTTGCTGAGGATACCCGCCCATTTGCGTTTCCGAAAAAGTGGAGGTCGAACAAGTGTCTCTGCACACCTTCGCGGCGACTTACTTGCTGGCCCAGTTAGTCATACCCTCAAAGGATGACTTGGACATCTCGAAAATTCTGGAACTGTTACAAAACGTTTCCTCTATCTTCCTTTCCTCAAGCACCACATCGAGTTCTCGCATTATGACTCCCACGTCGAGAAATTTACTTCCAAATAGACTCGCGCAATGCTTGCGCTCGGCGAATTTGAAATTCCTGGCCTCCTCCTCTCCCTCTCCCCCTTTCCTCCCGCCCCAACGCATCCCCACTGTTGAAGGCGCATCCGCAATGTAGTAATCATAAGGGTCCGGCAACGACTGCGTTCATAACACCATCCCTCCAAATTCAAAATGAATTGTCTTGAAAAATGTCGCCGTCTGGGGGAACGAACTGTACCAATTTGATCTCGCTTTCGCTGACAACTGGTCCTTTTACAGTGTTGTTGCATGTTGTTGCAGAACCAGTAATCCGCGGAGGCAGCTCAAATTGGCGGAACTCCCCTACCCTTTATCGCCTTTTGCGGGCTCTCCAAGGAGATTTTGGATTTGGCTTGATGGACACTCATATAAACCACCGCGCCACTGCCGTGACAAGGGCTGTTCTGCCTATAGGATTTGCCGAATTCTGTGCCCATGTCTAGAGTCGTTGAATTGAGCCATCGTCCACATACGGAGTCAACTCATAACGTTAGGAGCTGCCCCTTTTACATGCTGGTCTAGCTGTCATGTCACGGATAGATTTTAGGATTCCGACACGAGCAGTGTGGAGAGTGAAAGTTGCGAGTGGAATTCCGTGCGAGAGGCTATCGGTGGGCCGTCGAACGAGTATACGAAAAGGATAGTCCATCTCCGCTTTTAGCATCGCGGCATGACTCTTCATCCTCGCTGTCACTTGTTCATGAGATTTACTCTTATATAAGAACGAAATCCTCACAAACCTTTGTTGACCGTGCATATCATTGAAGGCTTGGGGCTGTCGCAAATCGATGTCTGCTTATGGCTCATGCTATAAGCTGATCTAGAACGAGTTTTGATTTACTGGTGGATCGTTCTCTTTCCGAGCAAGATCACTGAGGCGGAGATTATGCTGAAAAGACTCAATTAAAAGCTAGAGAATCAGCTTCTAAAAAATTGAAAGTAGATTCTTCTTATGAAGAACATTCTCTGCAAAGACACGGAAATAAAACTGAAGGTGACTCCATCATAGAAGCGTCTTCATTTATGTAATTATTGCGTTCATTGAACATGAAGAACTATTTGAAGAAAGGCTAACAAGAGAAGAAGAGCAGCTTAAATCGCTTTTCAGCCTTTTCAGAGGATCGCTGACTAATGACGGATGTGGAGCTTACGTCCAATGCGCTTGTTTCCTCAGCGCTCTGTCATGCAGCTGAATTTCGGGCATACTGTAGCAACGTCGATGGCTTTATAGACCATCCACAGATTGTTTGACCAAAAACTTTATTTTGCCCTTCACAAACCTCTTGTCGAACTTCGCAGTAAGGATAATTTCGTGCGAATACGTAGCAAAAATAAAATACCAATGGGCAGATCACATCTTGAGAAAAACAGACGTCAGATGAACTAAAATCACAGTGGATACTCGTGAGCAATACATCCTCAAAGCCATCAGCGAGATTAGTCTATGTGTAGTGAGGCGGAACCACCAGCTGTGAATTGGGCTACATATGGCTCTCACACTCAAAACTTGTGGCAGCGACCGGAGACCAGGAAGAAGATTGTGGATGTCGGAAGCGAGGAACAGAAACATTTGGCAATATCATGTAGCAGCCTGCAAGCACCTTTGAAATAGGCTTGTAAATTCCGAGTAAAAAGAATATGCAATTCACAAGCGGTCCCCTTTACCGTAGTGTTTCATTATTGTCTGTGCAAGGTGCAGAGCTCGATGCGTGCTCATTTACCCGCTGCCTTTGTTTCCGTCTACCTAATTACTTGGCTCGGCAAGCCAGTTTGATGCAGCTTATTTGCTCGATAACATACAGCGAGGCTATGCTTAGCCAAAAGGCACGCCAAGACGCAAGTCGTTTGGACAAAATGCCACTACAAAAGTCAAATGATAAATCCCTCGAGACTGTACAGAATTTTTGAGAACATTGTAATCTCTTAGAGCAGGCTAATAGTTTAACTGCCTTAGCTTCCACTTCGAACCTGCGGAGGTGCGATGAACCATCAAAAGCAGTGAATTGCCTAAATTTTGGCTCAGGTGTTATGCACCATACTGTATCATTATGCTGAGTTTGAGACGTTGCGCTCGAGACTGTACAGGATTTTTGAGAACGTTGCAAACTACTCTAGAGCAGGCTGATAGCGATTATTGTTGGAGCGGATCAGCATCATAGCTTAGAAATATCAGTTCACCCATTCAGGTACTGCTGTGAAGCATAATTAGTAAGTTAATTTCAAAAACGACTAAGCAACTGTCTCAAACAAAGTTCAGGGTAATCGGCTCCACCGTCCAACATTGTATGTTCGTCATTCTAACAATGAGTTTTTCTGTAATTTCTAAATCACACTGCAATTCAGATTCAAACTTATATAGTATTTGAAATATGAAGTCTGCCGAGCCTGTATCAAGTTAGCGCGCTCATACAGCGAGAACGTGATAGAGAACGTAAAAAGAAATTTAAAATGGAAAAATGCATATTGTGTCTTTGCCGCTCTCTCAGCGCATTAACTTTGATTCACAAAGTCGTGCGCTTCAAATGACTTCTGTATGTTGCCACTGCAAAATGTATTCATTCTATACAGCAGATGTTAAGGACAGCGTTTCCGCAAAGTGGAAATGCTGTGATTTTCATTGCAGCAGGCCCCTCTCCGCCAGCTAAGCACTCGGCAAGGAAACGAAAAAGCCCTTATTTGAATTTGCTTTGGAACTGTTTTGGAGGCACAACGGACCGCGCGAAGATTTCAAAGTGAAAAGTTGAAGCGCGCGTATAGCACGCAGTTATGACAACAGGGTCCCACAAAACAACAACTCTTCCTCGAGACCTTGGCGGGTTTTGCGTCCTCACCTCCAGGCTCAAAATTATTGACTTTGGGCTTCCAGGCTACATAGAAACAGCGAGACAGAAAGCTTCAAATAAGGTAAAAAATCATCTTATCAAGATTTTGTCGAGAAGCTGCCTTTAACAAATCTCCAAGTTTTCACATGTTCGTGTGTCGTAACTGTAAGTTACTTTAGGGAGAATATTTATCTTTGATGTAAAAAGTTTTAATCAAACAGAACTATCGCACTTAATTCGCTTGTGTCCCTATCGTTGTAAAATGTGGCTGCAGCTGCTTTGATGATGGTGTATCGTAAATTTTGAGTGCAACATGAGTGCCTTATATTTCGGCTAATTCCATGGATTCACCAATAGATGGACTCTAGCCTGCTGACGATTGCACAGTTGTTTCCACAGAATTAATCGATAACTATTCAGCACTCTGCCTGACTAGTATACTCCATCAGTGAACAATTCCAGTGAAAAAATCACATGTCTTTGCTAAATATGAAGTCTCCACTACTTTTCTCAACATTGTCCCATCCGCCCCTGTTTCCATCTAGCGCCTGTGTATTTTCTGCCTTTTGCAGAGTCTCAAAGCGGGGACGAATTGAGTTCGACAATGTCTGCGAACGTAACGATTTTAGTCGATGGAGAAGAGCCACGCGAACAGGAAAATGGACATGTTTGGAATTTTTGTAACCGATTACATTGCACAAGTATAGGTCTATTTGAAGCTTTCGCGCAAGGAAGGATCGTTCCGTCGTAATTCGGTTGCTCCCAATCGTCGTTCGCGTTCCAGTCCTGCCATAGAGATGGAGGAAGCAGCAAATGCCGTTGTTCAAAGGGTATGTTTGATTTGAGATGATATGATTTAGATATAACGAATATAAATATAAAAGCATAGCTAATGCAGTCATTAGACAAACTTATCTAGAGCTAAAAAAAAATCTTCTACCACTATGCTTTCGCGTTAAGTTATACAAACTTACTGCGACAGTGAGGACGAGTGGCGTAACGGTATGAGGCGCCGTTATAACCAGATCGGACTCCTGTTCGACCCCGCTTTGGGCCAAGCCCTCTACCCTCCGGGCTGGTAAATTGGTGCCAGAGTAATTTGAGAGGATAAAAGCACTGACCTGATAGTCGGCTGGCCTCATAGGTCACTATGAAATGCTCGCATGCATTCAGTAACCTCTTCGACTACAAAGTATAACGTTCGATATCTTTAAACTTGCAAATATGACCTTCATGAATCAGTGACAAAAGATGCAAGTTTTCGTACATGTATAATGAGGGAAGGGAAGGGAAGCTACCTGACTCATCTTGGCCTTTTGGCAAAAGATATATATGGTCTGAATCAGCTTTAAACGCTGATTCCATGTATGCTATTTCTAGCTGCCACGCACCATTCCGAAGCGAGTTATGGGCTTTTTCCTGCGCAAAACTGGCATGCTCATCGACTCACTGGCATCACGGCATCATCACCTAAGTGTTAATACACTTGTATTTTGCTTCTTTTTCGAAAAAAGATTTGATTTGTACTCGATACCTCAGCACGTTTTTCTTGATTTTTATCTACACGCAGTCCTCTCATGTTCAGTAGTATGCCAATTTTACGTGGGAAAAAGCCCATAACTCGCTTTGAAATGGTGCGTGGCAGCTAGGAATAGCATATTTGGAATCAGCTTTGGAGCTGATTCAGAATATGTATGCCTTCTACCAAAAGGCCGAGCTAAATCAGGTAGCTTTCCTTATTAGTGCGAAAGCACAATGATAGATTTTTACTTGATAAGTTTGACAGTGATAAAATGATGCAAAATACACATGTACGAAAAATTGCATCTTTTGTCACTGATTCATGAAGGCCACATTTGATAAGATTTTTTTGGATGTAACCTCATCAAAAGAGTTTGGGTTGCAAAATTTAAAACAAGTAAGTTGACATGTTGTACCTTTCCTCGAGTGACAGGTATAGCATAGCATATCTTGACGTTTTTCTTCCCCTTTACGAGCATTTGTAAGTCCTCAATGCGCTATCCAAGCATGAAAACAGTGATCACCACTTAGCAGCACTGTGCAAGAAGTTCTGGCAATGTACCAGCGTTTCTACTAGCGCAGTAACGGGATCGCGTATGCCGCGTAGAGTCTGTAGTCCAAAATTGGAGTGATGCGCATCCGCTGCCACGGTTTTGGTTACGTCTATAACTGGTTTGTCTGCTCTTTCTTCAGCCACTTCACTTCTCCAACATTGCGCATATGCAGCGCAAACCTCTAGCGCAGCAAGTGCGCAAACTCACGCCAACGTTTCAATTTGGTTCCTAATTGAAGCAGTCGTACGTTTGCTTTGTGCTACGTCGCGCGTGGCTCTCACCTTAGGGTGCTTCAAGGGCAGCGGTTTCAAAACTCCACTAGCCCGCCCACTTCCCTTGAGTGGGCGTCATTTGTGAAGATTTGAAACGAATTTTCAGGACTCGGCGCAGGAGTTGGAGGGTGGTTGTGGTGCTACGGTGTACTTGGGGTACCTACTACCTAAACGCTACCAAAATCTGAATAGGGTCCATTTTGCCGATCCATTCTGCCTTACTGGTTGGGCTTGACTTTTATTGAACTTAAAGGTACCGCCCATTCCAAGTTAGAGGTCTTGAGCTTTTTGGCAGCTTACGGTAGTGGGAGCCCCTATCAAGCCAATGCCCAAGTCGCTGCGCAAAATGGCGATTCGGGAACGATAAAATCGCTCAGGGATAACGAAGAGGCATGAGGACCTGAAGATGGTACCGCTTCCTCTAGTAATGCCCACCCATCCGTGCGCGCCCATCCAATCATTGTTTCGGAGAACCGGCGTGCTGGTTCTCCGAAATGGGGATTGTTGGGATTTTCGATGACGAGTGTGAATTTCAGACATCATTAAAAGTCGAAAGGGGAGGGGTAAGTGAATATACGTATGCGATATTCCCAATCTAATATATCTAATATGTAAAGAATCGTAGTGTCAATTCAAAACATCACATAGCGGGAAACCGCGGTGGGTCTCGAAGCGCGCGAATGCACCTTTAATTATTGGTTCACTAGTAAGGAATAAGTATGCTATACTCCAGTAGCTAAAGTCACGAGATTGGAATTCGGAGAGCTCTATTTGAGGCAGAGTAACTCTCCCATACGCAGTTGGCTGAACGTGGCGGAGTATCATGCGAAGAATATCTTGTAAAGTTTAGCATTAGCGACGCCGCTTTCCTGAGGGAGGCACCTGTTTGTCCACCAATCGCAGGGAACTACAACGAAGCACGAACTTACGGCTATATCAAATCTAAGGAGTCGGTGGAAGAAAGATTATTGAGTAGGTAGCATAGCAGTCGAAATTGGAATATTGTCGACATTCCTATGAACCCTAGAAATTAGTCTCGTCTCAGTGGCACAAAATTACAATCAGGAAAAAAGTAAAGAACAAAAAAATCCAGAGCGGTCGCCTGTGGAAGTGCTGCTCAGGCTTTTTCTCTTCGCTCTGCTTAGTCCATTTTAGTATGAAGTTATATGCAGTTGGGATTTTATTAGTTGAAACTGCAGCCCTCTTTCCCTTTAGCCAGCTGCACAAGAACAGGCATTCTCATTAGGTCAAGTACCAAAGTGTTGTCGTTCGCCATTTTGCTCTTTTTGAAGAACTAGGTGCAGAAGCGAACAAGTCGACTGTGCTTCCATCCAGTCATTTTGAACACATCGAGTAATTTGCATAATTACGCAGCGACTTTGTGAAATCGCAAGACTATGTGAATATGAAGCGATCGTTTTGTTTGTAGTCTGCCCCATGCCTGACTAGGCATGGATAGCATGGCGGGGATTCATTTCGCAAGGGTACTGCGTCACGCCTACCGCTAAGTAGCCTGCTCTCTCCTCAATCTCTTCGCTTCCTGCGACAGCGTACCAGCGCAAACCCTAGCGGTACAAGCGCGTAAATTCAGCCGGCGGTTCGGCCTGATTTTGATTGGGCAGACTGTATTATCATGCACTCAACGGTAAAATTCATCAGACTAATAGAATTGCTGCCACATAGGCTTACTGAGACATAAGGATGGGGTTGGCACACAAATGATGCATCTTTATGTTTTTGTCGTTTTGGATGTGCGTATTCATTCTTTGGTATTATATAGATTGTGCTATAGCTACTGATGCAGCCATTTTGACAGATTTTGCCTTCGCGTGTAAAAGTTACGGTAGGTCTTCAAAAAAATTCTTTTTGATTGCTTCAAATTTTGCTGTTGGTTATCGGGGCTGGTCGACATGCTGACTAAGAAAATGATATAGGTAATCCGCATGGAACGGCGTTTCGTGACATTGAAGTACGAGTTTTTTACCTGCGCAACGGAATAATAAGATGTCCTTGTTTAGCATGTCGAATTACACCACTTTGCGACGTTTGCAAATCCTAAGGTTTCGCATCTTACTGGGGACGGATACCAGATTGCAGTCGTTAAAATTGCATTTAGATGAGCCAATTTCAAATTTAGCTTCCATACCTTGTAAACTGTTCTCTAAACGAATTTATGAGCGTTTGAATTTCCAAATTTGGCAAATATCCATTGCCACACCCTCAAGAATTACTTGTTCAAAAACACTAATCAATTTGTTCGATGTATGTATGCATTCCTTGTAAAAATGCACTCAAAATTATGACAACCAATCACTCACAAAACTGGTTTGAAGCCCACTGTGCATCGGAACCCCAATAACTTCACACCTTTGACCGCCCAAAGCTTCTTCAAGAGAAGCGCTTAGCAGATGAGGAAGGTAAATTTGGAATCAGCTCATCGAGACGCATCTAATTATATGTATACTAGCTTGCTTACCCGGCTCCGCTCGACCCTGTCAAAACACTGTAATAAAGGTCCCATCCCTATCCCTGTACAGCCTTTCCCTGTGCCCACTTCTACACTTCATTTCCCGTTCCCTGTGTTCTTTTCGAAATCAGCATGCTCACTTATCTCCCTGTGCCAACTCGCAGCCATGATGCTCAAACTTCGCAAAAAATCGATGAAAGATAAAAGTAAACTGTAATTTTGAAAGCTAATATTGTACTCGGAATCGCCATGCCCACTTACCCCCCCCCCCCCCCTCCCCCCTGGCCAACTACCAGCCCCGTTGGTGAATTCTGCAAAAATCGGTAAAAATCGATAAAATCGATATCGATAGATAACGCAAAGTAGCCCATGACACGCTTCCCGCCTCGAAGTGTATGTGTGCCAAGTTTGGTCCAAATCGGTTTAGAAATAAAAATCAAAATAAGAATTTCTATTTCGCTATTTCGCACTTATGTACAGACAGACAGACGACATACAGACACACATTTAGCTTTATATATAAGATTTCGGTCCGCCACTGCGACCTGGTGTCCTTCCCTTGTCAGTTACTGACGGTGCTCCTCTGAATTTGAAAGCCATATAACCTCAATTTTCAACAAAATTTCAAAAAAAAGCTTTGATTTCTCTTTGTTATTAAAATGAAAAGGTATAGGCAATCTTGTAGACTACATCACAATCTATATAATGCCAATAAAGTGAGAGCGCTACATTCGAAAAGGAGAAGCTATGTGGGAAGTTACCCCATATGCCAGCCTAAAATACGTCAAAGATAACTATCGCTTTTCTTACACTCCTCTGCTGTGCTTCACAACAATTTGACTTCGCCGATCCTCATAAGGTGTGTTCAAAAGAGATATCTCAGTTTACACTGCAGGTGCAGGACCTCACACTACGAAGTGTGGAAAACTTTTTAAATCTGTTCAAAAAGGTTTGTTCGTGAGCAGTAGTGATGGTGTGCTTTAATGCGTTTGAAATGCATTTAGTTGAGTTCCTCATAGTCTTTTTCTTTGTGCTCTCTTTCTCAACTCTCTCGTAGTATTGTCTCCATTCCATCCTGTAATAAGCTTTGTAAATTTATAGTGGCTTTACAGGGAAGCAGAAGAAGCCATGGGCCAAAAGAACATGAACCGGGTTTGCGTTCGATGTTGTATGGATTGGAAGCCAAATTGTAAGCGTTTTAGTGAAATACAATCAACTGTATTAAGTAAAAGTTTTCAGGGAGAAAGAAGAGGCACAAATGAAGAAACGGCAAAAGAAAATGCATAGTACGTTAAGAAATTACTTTTCATGTAAAAGCGTACTGAAGCTTTCAGCCGCTGTGTGTTGAATGTAGCACGAAAGAGGCGCTGCATATAACACAGTTGTAACAGTAAACAAAGAAATGTAAAATCGCACTTGTTTGCTTTACAGGCGACCCTCGTTCACCATCTAATGCGTAGTTATAAGCGCTTTGTGTTCCTTATCTTTATGACAATCGTCATCAGCTGCATCATCCTGAGTATATACTCATAACTGGACTACTGTCGTGAGATTTTCTGCTGATTGTATAGAGGTTTCACAAAAGTTGGTTTCGCGCTTTCGTAAACATAATTATCTTGCGCACTCGGGTGTGTGAAGTGTGAAGACCTTACTATATTTCTTCTGCATTTTCTCTTAAGTTGCTATTTTCTACAGTTGGTCCTCACAGAAATGCATTTCCATGCGTCAGCACATAGCATTCTTAAGTATAAGAAGTGGCTAGACTGCGGGGTATGCTTTCCATGGCGCTATTGACTTAGCAACAGTGTGTACAATTTTTCTCAGTTTGTGTTTGCCTTCTACTTTTGAACTGCGATGTAGAACATTCTTTAATCTTCCGAAAGTTCACCTGAATTTGGTCGGACAATAGATCCTGTCGAGCGATAACTTCTAAATCTTTGGTTTGTTTGTGCTCGCCGTGTCATGATCAGCAACGCACTCTTTTCTTTTTCCTCTGTTCGCTGAACTTGTAAAAACTTTTTACGCCTTCCTCTGGCATGACGTCTCTTGGGCCGATTCATGATGAATACCTCGCATACCTAATCCACAAGACGCGTCAATACCTTTACTGAAGCAATTGTGTTTCATTGCTGCATTCTAACCACTTCTGAGACTAGGTAAGAAATGATGTTGAAAGCAGTGCGCGGGTAAATCTACAGTGTTCTCAAAAAATGCCCACACTGTTTATTCGTGCTAACTCTCTTGCTTCAAGATCGCTTGTCGATGTTCAGGTACCATTTTGTCGAGCTGAAATCAACTTATATTTACCGTATAGAACAAATCTCCGATGTTCTTTATTGCTGTAGGATTACGGTAGGAACTATAAAGAGGGTTCTAAGTCATTATGAGTCTTCAGCATTTTGCTTCAGAAAGGAAACCAAACAAGCCAAAGACTCTTATTCTAGCCTAGTTTAAAATTTGATGAATTCAATCATTAATTTGCAGGCTAAATGGTCTTCTTACGTAGTTCATTCCAGGTAAACGTAATACCTGCTTTTCCAATGTTTTTCAAGTATGTAGTCACACCACGAAAATGTCAGAAAACTTGTAAGAAGTTGTGTAATGAAGTAAGCAAGCGTTTTAAATCTGCTACACACATATCCATAATCTTTTGGATCTTTTTCACCCAACTGTACGATGATCCTACAGTAACGAAAAAAGATTGGAGACTCGCTCTATACAATGATCCTATCGAGGAAGGTCCGTTTAATCGAAGTGGCCTTCCACATAAAATTAATACGACTTTAAGGAGCATCGATCCCGAATCTAACTTCATTACTTGCCGCGCCTATGCATGCCGCTTTATGTTTTTGTGGTGCGAAAAATATACGCATAATTGCAGGTAAAATCAAATCATATTACGGTCTTTCCAACGCTCGAATAGAGCAATGTTAAGTATGAGTGTTTTGCACAGAAGGATTTTGGATAAAGCGCTCTGATGAATGACTGGACCATTCGAGCAATTCTGACTGATTTTGTTTCAATTAAGCTTTTAGCTTTTTAAACCAGAAAACGCTTATAACTCGGCTCCAAAGGCGCTTGGCAGACAGTGAAGGCAGATTTGGAATTAGCGTGTGATTCTCCTCGCAGTCATTGTCTCATGTGAAAAGGCCACTTCGACCAAACGGGCCTCCGGAAGTTGAAGCCAGCTCTGCAGAATAATGCCTGAATATCGGCAAATACCTTGAAGCAAGGAAGCTATTAACTATCAAACGGGGTGCACATTTTTCGGGTACCCTGTACACTTCTGGCTTTATCACTTTTGTGAGTTCATCCGTTTGGCCGTGAAAATCCACTTCGGAGATCGCAAAGATGGCAGAAAAACAGAATCAAGTACTTTGAACATCGACGAGCCCCGCTCGTCGACGTTCAAAAACTTAGAAAGGCAGAGTCGATACAGTAAACTAATGCCGTAGCTTTGCGCTAAGAAAGGAAATCGTATTTGGGCGTCACTATCCCACGAAATGTAGGCAATGTACGTATAGCTTTCAACTGGTAATGTACGTACTGCATCTTTGCTTTTCAACAACAACACCTCTCTCAATACTTTTTCTCTTCGACACTCTTTCGCAACAATCCTTCGCCTTCTTATGTTATGCTTCTACATTGAGCACTACCTGACCAGAGGAATGGGCCAGACTTCGCTGGGAAAGCGGCGTACGCGGCGTACGCAGCGTACGCTTGGTATATATCATCATAGGAGCGTACGCGGCGTACGCTGCGTACGCCGCGTTTCCAGCGCAGTCTGGCCCAACCCAGAGCGCCTATCGCCGCTGTTCAGAATCCTTACCGTTCAAAACGGACATTACCTCAAACTCACTAGGTACTTATGCACACAACACGTCCATCACTACTCTGCCGGGTCACAAACTTTAGAGATTCTTTTCGGTGCAACGATTTGCCTAGCGTGCAAAGATTTGGCCAGACTGCGCGGCTTACATGTTACGCAGCCACTCTACAGCTACGACACAATTAGCACCGTTTCCTTTGTTTTGAGCTATTACCGACAGCTCTCCCATGGCTTTCGAACTGCGGTTGCTCTCGACCAAATGCGATCCTCTTGACATAATGTAACCATCCACTCTCTTACCTGTCAATAGAATTTTTCTCTCTGCTTCGCACCACTTTATAAAATGGACGCCATAGCTAAGGATCGAGCCAGACTGAGTAACGCACGAGGCGTATGCACACGTGCATAAATATATGCGAAGTACGCTGTGCACGTCGCTCATCATCTATGCAACGTACGCGCCATATTTTTTGTATGCACGTGTGGTACGTCGCGCAGTCTGGCCTAGCTTTGGCTCTAATAAAGGCTGGGAAATGCAAACAAGAAAAAAAAAGCAATAGAGGATCATAAGGTGACTGCGGCTAGTTCAAGTGCAACTCCATATCGCGCTCAAATACTACTTCCTTCTTCTGCGCAGGCAGCAATCTAGTCTTCATAGACCGATGATTGAAACAGTTTAAGGAGTGTACGAAAAAGCTAGTTGTAGTTGAGAAAACCGCACATGGGTCGCCCACAACAGTCCTGTCTGACATAATTTACTATGTACATTAATGGCCAACACTTTTGTTAGCTTTCCGTCGCATAAGTTATGGTCAAGTAGACGATGGACCGCTCCACTTGGGTTCTGCACAGTCGCATACGCTGTACACGCTGCCAAAGCTTGCAAAGACACTATGATATGTATCGTGGTCCCGAAAAGAATTAAAGACAATATTTGCCATAGTATTAGCGTGGCGTGCAAATTGGCAACATGAGCGATGTGCGTAGCGTGCGCTCGACACGCTACCCCCAACGCATATAGTAGCGCAATGATATGGATGTGCCGCGACGATGTTTATGGCGTACGTTGCGAAGTTTGGCCCAACTACTCCTACAACTCTTATTAGGAGCGCTGCGCATGCCATTGTTGCTCTGAAACTCATTCTTCGATGAAGACGTGGTTAATATTCGCAGACCTTTCAAAATAGCATAAACTCTCCAAATAACGAGGGGTACCAGGAGTTGCAGTTGGAGGAGTTGCAGTAGCCTTTTGACATGAGATTTGTATCGCCCTGACTATTTCAGAAAAGCTCTTTTTAGTTGCGGAAATCTGGCTCAAAGTTATTGAATTTCATTCGCGGTAAAGTTAAGACGCTGGGCTTAGCCAAAACTATCAAAACTCATGCACAGTCTGCAACAATCAGGATCAGGAAGACCGACGGCTGATGCGCGCTCGCAACGCCAGGGATTTGCGCTGCATACGCGCGTCGCAGAGAGCGAAGGGATTGGGGAGAAAGCAGACTAGCCAGCCGTAGACGTGACGCAATACCCTCGTGACACGGGTTCCCGCCATGCCAATTTTGGCCTGGTTAGGATTGGAGCAAACTTATTCTGGGCTTAAAAGCAGTGACCCGGCAGATTTTGCACTTCCACCTTTCTGCATATTTTTGGCCTTTTTGGTACGTGGACCCAAAAAGCTTTGAAGGGGGTGAAATACCGTTTTGAGGGCGTTTACCCAATTTTCAAGATACAGCTTGGATAAAAGTTTCACTGGAAAGTTGAGAGACCCTGGCGCAATCACCTCGTCGCCTGTAATTTTTGCTTTGGATAGCATGCAAAATGCGGGAGCGTTCTGGGGTCCCGCACCGAACAGGTAAGCAAAGTCGTCCGAGCGCGCGTCGGCTGGGGTGGCGCGCGCCGGTTCGAGGGCTCTTTCAACTGAGGGGAAACATCAACTACCCGGACTGGGCCTGAAGATAAGTGGGGTGACCACGAACCCCATCACATGTATATCCCGCGGGGAATCTGCCGGGACACTGCCTTTAAACCTAGTTGCAACTATTTATCAATACTTACTTACTTAGATACTTAGATGGCTCGTCTTCACGTGGCGTGCGGGCCCCAGCACAAGAGTTTCCATCGGTCCCTGTCCCTCGCTTCAGACATCCACGATCTTCTTGGTTGACGTTGGTAGCTGCGTCCACGAGTTCCAGGTGCGAAAATCGTATCCAGCTGATTTCTCAGCTGGTCCATCCGTTCCACGAACACGTCTGCCCATCTCGTCGGTGGTCTTCCTCGGGGACGTTTGGCTTCGCGAGGACTACTCGGATGTTCTTAGTGTCCATCTGTCGTCTGTTCTTCTCATGATGTGACCGGCCCATCGGTGTTTCGCTTTCGCAATGTATTCCGCTGGGTCACGAAGACGGGACATTCTTCTCATATCGGTAGACTAAATGCTGCTTTCGTCGGGTCTTTTTC